GACCAACGCGGCAGCTAGACTGGCCGCTGCGCTCAGAGGACGCGTCTGCCTGCACGCGGCCCATCTGATTGCTTTTCCAGGCTTTCTGGGCCACCGGATATGGTGCCCGAAGCGCCTTCTCAGATCGGTTGGGATAACAACGTAAATCACAAGCCTGTCTAAACATGGGATTCGATTGGGCTATCCGTACCGCGTCCCAACCGATTAAGCATGCGGTCCGGAAATCCCGAGTCGCCCCTACCGCCGGCCATCGAGGTCCGGTATCGATTGGGACAACCCAAGCCTACCCAACCCGGTAGGGACAAGTCGGGACATCCGGAGCCTATCCCGACCGTCCCCAACCGCATCCCGGACGAATTGCTGGCTGGGAGCCGCGTTTACATAGGGCTAGTTGCCAAATAGTGGAATTCCGATAACGAGACATTTATTCCCCACTATTATATTATATACCTAGTACCTACATATCCGGAATTGGAGGATGTTCAGTAATTGAGGCGCTCGCTCATAAAATGCCGTGCGTTTCATGCACACTCCTCAAGCAAAAATATTTTTACTTTCCAATTTTCCACATTTTCTCAAGGCTTAGACCGTTACAGAGACCGTTTTAATTGACTTTGATGAAGTTGAACGCGAGAAATCACAACCAAATGCTACATTAGGTTGTAAAGAACTGAATTGCGTTTTCCCACACACGTGGCGTTTTCTCACCTACGTCTGCAGGAGAGACCGGACCCACTATGCCCCCCCCCACCATCGAAAGATTCTTCATGACTCCCGGGGGCCCCCGGGGAACCTGGGGGGCCCCTTCGAAAGCAGGTGGCCCCTCCTGGGCGAAATCCTGGGTACGTACCTGCATTTAAGACACTTTCTAGAGAGGTTTTCATATCCCGCGCCCCAGTGGCGGTCTCAGCCAACTTCGCCCTAGTGGGGGGGGGGGGGGGCATATGTTACCACCCACCTCTAACTCAAAAACTAAGAGGGCTAGGAAGACGCGGTAAAAAGCAGTCGATAGCTCTCTCAATGCGTACGTTTGAAAGTATTTTGGTCATTTTCATCTTAGAACAATATTGGGGTCACTGGAGGTCATCAAATGTCAAAATTTGCCAAATGTCATTATATTTCTCAGAAAACATGCATTTATCTCAGGAACTATGATAGCTAGAAAAACGAATGGCAAAGCAATAGATAGCTTTTAAACTCTTCTTATGAAAAGGTTATCATCAAAATTGACCTCAGGTCAACGGTTTAGCCTCCAGAGGGCAAAAACTCCAAAAATAGCTGTTTTTACGAAAAGTGTTTTTTGACAATAACTTTCGACTAAAAAAAGCCACGACATTTCTATTGCCAGAAACGTGTTCCTCTCGCCGAGACGCGTCGAATGAACTATAATTTGACCTTAAAAGGTCAACTTGAAAATTTGACCTCAGGTCAAGGTCATGACCTGACCGGAAAAGGTCATGATGCATATCAGTCGATGTGTCTCAATAAGACAAACACAATAAGACCATCCCCAGCGTTCTATCTCTTTCCAATCGCGAGTTATTGGCAAAAAACTGTTTGTAGCCTCAAGTGACCTCGGATGACCTGTCTAGAGGCTATCAGCAAAAATGACACCTTGGTCATCACGGGTGGTCCAAATCATTGTGATTCTGAAATATTTGGACTGTTCCTTTGCGTACACACGGATCTAGAGACATTTTCATTTTTCTCCATTGCCTTATAATGGTAAGGTCACGACACTGACCTGACCTTAGGTCACAGATATAAAAAATCCGAGATATACAAATTGTAGGCATCTATAACATCATGCAATCCACCAAGTGTGAAACCTTTCTGACAAACACTGCAGGCTGCAGTGGCGCGGGAACTTCTTCCAGACTGGGGGGGCTGAACCATAATAGAAATCAACCTAGGGTACCCCCAAATCTAGTTTTCTCACCGGTTTTAGGCCACTTATTTTTCAGACCTTGGCCTTTTCAACAAAAAAAAAACACGAAAATATTTTCAAAAAGTGAGGTATTCCGTCTCAGCTGAGTGAAGAAACTACAGTTTTGGCAATCTGGAGTAAAGGTTTTAATCTGCCAAATGAGTTGCCGAGCCAGTGAAATAGGTGGATTTTTCACTTACATGCTTTCTTCCTTTGTGGCCCACAACCCCTAATTTGGGAAGGACAAGCTGCCCAACGGTTCCTGGCCTCATGAAACGTTGTGGGGCACCGCCCCCACGGCCGCAGAGTTGTGGGGGCAAGCTTCCCCCCTGCTCCCTCCCCCGGTTCCCACGCCTATGTATGAATCTATGAAATTATGTTGGTAGATTTCCGATTTCGATTCCTCCATGGCTGGGGGGGCTCAAATACATTACGAGCCCCCCCAGCCGAAAAGCTGGGGGGGGGGGGGGCTCAGCCCCCGCTAGCCCCCCCCCCCCCGGTTCCCGCGCCACTGGCAGGCTGGACATGATCGCAAACTTTTTTTAGGCTTGGTCAGTTAACTTGACCTGGTGACCTGACCTGACATGACCTGGGGTCAAAAATTTCACACATTGTCCAAAATTGATGTACCAAAAGCTATCCCAAGCGGCGCGGCTCTACGCGCCGCGGTTTTTTATTTACACGCAAAAAACGCGACAGGGTGGTAACATATGCCCCCCCCCCCCCCCCCACTGGGGCGAAGGATATCTAAAATCCTAGCACGGGGTCCTGTGATTGCGATCTGAGTGTCGTCAGCATATCTAACAAATGTTATACGGAAACCATTGAGCTCGGTTGGGACATGACATGCAATGTCGTTGGACGCGATGTTGAACAGTAGCGCTCCAAGGCACGTCCCCTGGAAAGTGCCGATGGAAATGTTCAGAGGCGCCGACAGTGTATCGCCAACCCTTACGCGCTGCGTGTGACCTCCCAGGTAGCTTTTGAACCAGCCGGGTGATATCTGATGTTGCTGTAGCTTTGTCAAAAGGTTGGCATGGTCAATCACATCGAAACAGCGGCTCAGGTCTAGTAATGTTAAAATCGTCACCTCTGATTGATCCATGCCTCGTAAAATCGCATCTGTTACTGTTAAAAGCGCCGTACAGGTTGAGTGTTTAGCTAAAAATCCATGCTGGTCAGAGTTTATGAGGCCTTCAGCGTTTAAGTATGAGACAAGTTGCTCGTGAACAAGCTTCTCGACAAGCTTAGGTACATATGGTCGGCGTGAGTGTGATGGGTCTGAAGTTCGAAACGACAGCGGGGTCGTCTCGTTTTATGGAGAGGTAATACTACTGCCCTTTTCCAGGATTCGGACACGGTTTCTGAGACTATGCTTTTATTTATAATTCTGAGAAGTGTTCTACCTATAGTACTAAATGTTTGCTTCAATATAGCTATCGGTATGTCATCGTCAGTGGCTGCTGATTTGTTTGGAAGAGAGAAAAGCACTCGTCGCAGCTGGTCGAGTGTCACAGGCATAAGGTTTAATTTGCCGGTGTTGACTCGAGGGAGACGTGTGTTTAGTGGTTGTCTCCCTGATTGTGTTTAGTCACTCATGACCTTGTCCCTGGTTTCTGTGCCAATGGATGTAAAGTAGGCATTCAATTGGTCGGGTGTGACCAATTGAACCGATGACGTTACTCAGAAAGATCTGTAAAAGGGCTATCGAATGCGCTTTTCCGCGGCGCTGTAGCTCTATAGGTTCCCGAGATAGCCATTGGCAGTTTCCAAAATGTTGAAATAGGCAACATTTTACCTTTGGTGACCTCTGGTGACCTGACCTTTGACCTGACCCAAAAAATGACCGAAGTGTTTTCGTCCTTATTTTGGACGTTCTTTCGATTGCCGCTTACCGCGCGTCGCTACGTGGCCCAAGAACCGAGTTAGAACTGGGGGGGGGGGGGGTTTCAGACCCCCCGGCCCGGCGCGGAATCTCAGAGCACCGGCCCGGCGCGGGTTAAAGACATCATCTGTGATCAAAACTAACACGATATTCGTGATCAGCACCCCGAAAACCCCATTGCAGCCACACTTAACGACTTTCTAACAGGTCCCAATTTTCCCGATTTTTGGGTCATTGAACTGGCCTGGAAGGTCAACCGATGACCTACGACCTTAGCATTATTGGGTATCATCTCATCGGGCTTCCTCTCGTGACGGGCAACACGCTCATTTTTTGCTTTAGACATAGGCAGCGGAACGGGGAGGGCACCGGGGCGGGCACCGTGCCTCTTTAGAGGTTTCTACTTTCTATAACAAATAGTAATATTGATATTTCAATGATTTGACCTCTTCATAAATGCGCCTAACTGCATTCGTGTAAAGATTTACGATTTATTTTCATTTGATGCAACCAATCTTCTATAATATAAATCATAGCAGTAAATTAGCACTTTTCAACCTGTGCGTGTCATTGTGGCGCTGAGGTGACAAACATCCATTCCTCACGTCACAACACGTGTGTGCGCATTGGTAGCGCCAGGCCCATGTCACTCCACTTTTGATGACATCATATGGGGGCCTCAGGACAATAATGGCGCGGCGCGCCACAATCGCTTCAAAGCTACTTGCCAACAGTTGCCATTTTTGAAAATATTATTTTGAAATAAAGTTCCAAGTAATAATAATATTGTAATGAAGTTGTTGAATAAATCGATACCATATCTAAAAACTTACTGAAAAATGATTTATTCATAGTAAAAATATAAGCTCGATGCGTTTTTACGTCGCTTTCCTGCAACTGCTGAGGGTTTTTAAATCGTCTATATCTTCAAAACCGGCCATTTCTTAGCATATTGCTGCTCTTTTTTATCGCTAGAAAATTAGTTGAACTTTCCAATGACATCAATGGTTGAGCGATATGTGTAGAGTGTCACCAAAAATCTTCAAATGAAGTTAGTCATTTTTACGTTGTGAAGGAATGGAGTACCCCTTTCGAGCATCAGGGGTGACGTCACTCAGGATCTGTCTCTGATTGGTCGGTGGGGGAGTGACTGTACCTTCTATAGATGGCCTTGGGTAGCGCAGTGCAAGGCCATATAACCGCGCAGTGTTTTACAACGTGGGACGGGGTTGTGGTATGTGGCCTGGGTCGTGGTCTTTTACCTTAGTTTTAATTTGGGAAGAATTGCAATAAAGATTATTGATTGGATTATTGTAAGGAGCTCAAGCTATTTTTTCCTAAGTAGCAGTATTGTTACCTAAGTTGAAGTGTCTTGACCAGTGCCAGTGTCTTGACAGGGTTTGTTTTGGAGGGTGTAAAAAAGGCAAGTAGGTACCAAAAGGCTAAAGCCACGGCATAGCCAGGGTGTCTTATGCTACACTAGTTAATTTAAGTGACCATCCCACCCTAACATTAGTTTTGAGTTGAGATAGCCAAATTGGGGTCCCTGGCCTGCAATTACTCGTTTTGGTACCTACTACAACAACAAAAAATGCTTTAATTCAAAATTATGTTCTTAAAGTTGCAGCTTTTGGATTCAGATGGGCTAATGTAATGTTTTTAATGCCCCCTCCGAATGTGTGATGTCAGCGCAGATCTATCAATTCTTAAACCTTTACTAAAACGTTTGGTAGGTACCTAGCACGTGGTGTAGTGATATGGGTATGCTGCATTGTGCGCATCAGCTGTCACACTTTAAGGATGCCAAATTATTGCTTTCAAATGATGTTGTAGGAACAGTGGAGGTCCCAAAAAGTAAACAAAAGTGAAAGTGTGCTATCTTGGAAACCCATAGGCGCGGGAGCCAGGGGGCAGTGGGGGCAATGCCCCCACAGTTTTGAGATGGAATACCACACTTTTTGCAAATGTTTTCTTTTTTGTTAAAAAAGCCAAGGGACGAAAAATTAGTGGCCTAAAACCAGTGAAAATCTAGATTTGGGGGTACCTGAGGTTGATCTCTATTATGGTGTGCCCCCAGTGTGAACGTAGTTTTCGCGCCCCTGTGGAAACCAGTGAATATTTTTCAGAGAAATTTGGTTGATATTCATTTTGGATCTTTCTGAATCAAGGGACATCACTTTTATGCCAATTCATATTCATAACTTTTTCATAACTCTTATTCATTCATAACTTTTTTGAAGGTGGGGTCCCTTTAAAATAGTTTGTCTTTGCCTGTCCAAGCCCCCAAAGTGCCAACTGTTTGCTACATGAGGTTTTGAATATCAGTGGCGGATCCAGGGGGGGGGGGGCAAAATGGGCATTGGCCCCCCAAACGGCATAATTTTAACATTACGCCTATGGACGATGCATGGAAAGAATCGATAAATTGTTATGGTTTGCCCCCCGGCCCCCCAAAAAACTCTGAGCTGGATCTGCCTCTGCAACGTTTGTTTTTTAATTTTTCTGCCTCAAAATAATGCCAAAAATCTGTTTATGCAAGATATCAATATAATGGGTATTTGACCACTGAATTTTATTTCAAACAGCTGCTCATTCACCATGGTGAAGAAGGCAAAGAAGATTTCTGCACCACCTGCATCTGTTCCTAAAGTCAACGGAAAGGCAGATATGTCTCCTAAGGCTAAAGGGACGCCGAAAAGGAAAGCAAAGGAAGGAAAGCGCCTTACAAGGGTTCTGCTGGTGAAACATGTAAGTGGCCTAATATTTGTCTGCTTGTATAAGAATTAAGATGCCTCTATTGGTCAATAAATGCACTAAGTAACATAATATCATTTGAACAGTCCTGTTTGCCTTATGATCCCCACCCAACCATTTCTTAAAACACCTAATTGTAAAAATAATAGGCAGTCAAGATTATATAAGAGAGTGTTAGTGTCAATTGTTAGTTAGTAGAATTCAGATCAAAATTTTTCACCTTTAGATGCCACAAATAATCTTGGAAAGGTAGGTTGAATCACTCCTGGAAATATCAGATGGCATCATGGGTCAAGATGAAAAGACTAGATCTAAAATTGTACTGATCATATGCAATTAAGATCTTTGCACAAGCATCTGAGCTTATGCCTATAGCTTGGAGTTTGACAATCCTGCTTATTTGTCAGATCAGAGTAAATCAGTTTTTTTGTCATTTTTTGCTGACAACAGTGTTCCATGGCAAATTTTGAAATTTAATTTGTCTGTAATTTGAACCCTGGTCCTTAGTTGATGCTGCTAAAATTTAACAATTGTTAATAGTAAATTACCACCTATGACGTATAGGCTATGACACCATAATATTTTCATATTTCATAACTCATGAAAGCACCCCAGCCAGCCTTCCCAAGTGGGGCCCACAGGCCACATGGGCACCAAACTGGGGCCCATTGGGGCTGCCCACCACAGACCCAGATGGGCATGTCATGGGCGTCCAACTGGGTCCTATCTGCGCACCCCAGGTGGGGCCCATGTTGGACCCAGCTGGGGCCCAAATTGAGCCTCATATGGGCTTTCCCAGTTGGGACCCACATGGGCAGCCCAAGTGGGGCCCATATAGGACCCAGTTGTTATATATCGCCTCGCCGTGTTTTTTTCCAAACCCCATATCTGCTTTCCCGTACATTTCGGACAAGTTTAAAAGAAACTTTCAAAAATGGTAGTGACTCGATTTTCTCAAGTTTGTCTGCCTTGGCAGATCAAGCAATGTCGGAACAACCTTACTAACACACATATTTGATCAGGATCGAATTATTGGACACTTTTTAAATGGGATCTTTCGTGCCTCCCGGAAATTCACGGGAGAACAGATATGGGCCCACGGGCTTTCCCAGTTGGGACTCACATTGACGCATGCAAAAAGCCCACATGGGCTTTAATTGGAATTTGGGACCCAGCTTATGTCGACCATTATTTCCGCGTGAATCCCAAAAAGCAACATGGTCACACGTGGGAGAACCGCGTACCCTTTGCCTCTTACTAGATCCCCAGAGATTCGAACTCAAGACCTATGGATCTTGATGCGGGGACCCTAACCACTGCACTGCGCTACCACTGCAGGTAGGCGGCCGGTGGAGGGTAGAGAACGGAAACGGATGCGTACCTATTGTGAAAAAGGGAGTTTGTAACGATAGTGTAGAAGCCCGAGCGGTAGGTACGTCAGCGCTGTATTTTGTCTATAGTTCGTTTTTTTTTCAAAAGGACACTGGCTCAAAGTTCAATATCGAAGCTCTCACGTGAGTTTTGGCAGCTTCAGTGTCTGGCCAGGAATTTCTTCCGGAAAAATAATCGATTTCAAATTGTGCACGGTAAGTAGCTGGAAATTGTTTCTTAAAAATGAACATACTATGATGACGTCACTGGTGGCAGCAGGCACCCAAATGTCCGTGCAATGGGACAAGTGTCAACGAATTTGGGTGAAACTTAGTTTTTCACTGTTGCCGAGCTTATAATCGAGTAAGCGGTTCCGTCCAGGATAGTTATGCGTTACATTGCAATACATGTTCGACAGCATGACGTCACCACTGTTCTCATATCTGGTTCCAAAACGCACATATGGAAATTATCGGCAAAGAATCACATTTTAAAATTAGTCGACGCTCGATTTTCTCAGGTTCAGTTTTTACCTTAAGTATTTACCTTAAGTAAAGGTCATTAGGTACCCTTTCGAGTAATCAGACCCTTTACTCAAGAGATGCCTCCTCTTCTTCTGACGAAGACGAGTAGGCTGCCATGCTAGGTGAGGCCATACATTGATGGCCACGATGATTATTAGTATGAGAACTTGTAGTTGAACTTTTCAGGGTGGTCCTTCCATTCCTTCCCCAGTCTGTACTTGAACACATCGACATTTGGAGCATCGATGGTGTGGGCTGACAGCTTGTTCCATGTCTGAGTTACTCGTGCCGCAAAGAAGGCTTTTCTGGGTCCCAATTGATGCTGAACTTGAAGTTTTTGATCGTGACCTCGGGTGACACGGCTGAGAGAGTTCTTGAACATGCTGTTGTGACAACACGGGCACTCTCTTTGGAAGTCCACCTTGTCGAAGCCTTTCAAAATTTTGAAGGTCTCGATGATGTCCGACCGTTTCCGTCGGAATTCCAGAGTAGGTAAATTAAGGCTCCTGAGGCGATCTGAATATGAAAGGTGAGACAGTCCGTTCACCAGCCTTGTTGCCCGCCGCTGCACCTGTTCGAGTGCATCTTTGTCCTTTTTGAACTTGGGATTCCATATAACAGTTGCATACTCGAGGTGGGGCCTGACAATGCTTTTGTACAAGGCTTTGAAAATGTCGCTGTCAATGTTTGCAAAGGTATGCTTGATTGCACCAAGAATTCTATTGGCCTTGTTAATCTGGTTAGTGACATGTTTTGAGAAGGATAGCTTCATGTCTATAGTGACTCCCAGGTCCTTTTCCTCACAGACTGCTTCAAGGGTATGTTTGCCTCCACCCATAGTTGTCATGGTATACTCACTTCCAGGATTTGTTGGTCCGAGATGCATGACCTTGCATTTAAGTGGATGAAAGATCATCTGCATTGTTTTTGCCCAATCTTGCAAAGAGTTGATGTCCTCTTGCAGATTGTGAAGTTCACCATCGCGCTCGTTGATGACTTGGTAGACCTTGGTATCGTCCGCAAACATAGAGATATGACAATTTAAGAGGTCGGGAACATCACAGACAAACATGGAAAACAAGAGAGGCCCGAGCACTGAGCCTTGCGGCACTCCACTTGTTACAAACTCCCAGTCTGATAGTGATCCATTGACGTTCACTCTTTGCCGCCTGCCTGTTAGAAAACTCCTTATCCACTGATGAGTCTTTGCATTCACCCCTAGAGCCTGGACCTGGGCTAGAAGCCGTTCATGGGGCACAGTGTCGAACGCTTTGGCATAGTCCAGAAACACAACATCCACTGGTAAGCTGTGGCTTAGCGCTTCCGTCCAAATATCAAGAGCTTCCAGTAGGTTTGTGACCGTAGATTTCCCTGTGATGAAACCATGTTGTTGGCGAGCGATAAGATTGTTTGTCTTCAGATGAGCGATGATGTCCTCGCATATGATCCTCTCCAGAATCTTGCATAATATTGATGTCAGTGACACTGGTCGGTAGTTCGCGGGATCACTTTTGTCGCCTTTTTTAAAGATTGGCGTGACGATGGCCACCTTCCACTGCCGTGGAACTTCTCCAGTTTCAATACTTTTACAGAACAGAGATGTGATGGGTGTCGCAAGTTGGTCAGCAAGTTCGTGCAAAACACGAGGGTGCATGTTGTCGGGGCCTGGCGATTTATCAATCTTCAGTGTTTTCAGCTTGGCATGGACTCGCTGAACAGTTATCGCAACTTGCATCTCTGCCTCCAAAGGCTTTGGAGCTAGCGTTGGGATCGATGACTTGTCTTCCTTTGTGAAAACGCTTGCGTACTGATGATTCAATATATCAGCCTTGTGCTTGTCGTTAGTTGCCAGTTCACCATTAGCACTACGCAAGTCCGAGATACCACATTTTGATTTCCTGCGACGGTTGACGTAGTTCCAAAACACTTTGTGATTTCCTTTGACTTCTTTAGCCAGCTTCGACTCGAATTCCCGCCTTGCTTTCCTGGTCGCGTGGGTAGCTTCATTTCTTGCCTTGACATAACTTTCGTAATCATTACTGTCCTTGGTGTTCAGAAAACGAACCCAAGCGTGATGTTTTTTCTTCACCATTCTAAGAGCACTCCGATTCATCCACAGGGGATTTCCTCTTTTCGCTTTCTTGTTGGTGTCCAGCTTGGGCACGTACCTATCCATTAAATCCGTGATCGTTTGTTCAAGCGTATCTGCCATCTCATGCACAGATTTGCCTTCAAATAGTCCTTGCCAGTCAACGTCCAGTGCTTTCTTCATTTCTTCATAGTTGGCTTTGTGGTAATTCAGTACCGCACTCTTTCTCACTGGAACGTAAGGGACAAACGATATAGCAAATGAGACACTGGCATGATCGCTTGCTCCAACCGGGTCTCCAATTGTCAGTTGTTCCACCAAGTCTCGCTCATTTGTAAAGAGCAGGTCATCGAGAGTAGAGCGCTGTCCATCTCTGTATCTTGTTGGCTCTGTTATATGCTGTAGAAAGTAGGTATCGTGTATACATTCGATAAACTTACGAGCTGGGCTGTTCTGGCTGACACCTTCTGGAACTTCTGGGTCTGGGGTCCAGAATATTTCTGGGTGGTTAAAGTCACCGACTATAACCTTGTGCGAATGATTTGTGGATGCTGCCCAGCCAAGCATTTTGTGAAGATCAGGATCTTGAGGAATAGCTTTACTTGGTGACCCGCTTCTGTAGATCACCCCAACAAGCATACTTGCTCCACCCCGGGCATTAATCGTAATCCAGGTGCAATCCTGAAAGTTGCAGTCTCCCGTGGGATAAACTTGTTTGGCCATCAGATTCTTTTTTACATAAATTCCCGTGCCCCTAGTAGCTCCGGCTGAAAAGTTGCTAGTAAATAATTCGTAGTCGGGCAGTTCCATTACAGGGTGTTCAGGCATCAACCCAACTTTAGGTTTCATTTCTGTTAATGCAAGAATATCATAGCTCTCAAGTGCAGTGAGTGCCAGCATCGCGTCGTATTTACTCATAATAGAATTGTCGATGTTGGCATAAAACACTTTCAATGAGTTAACAGTATGGGTTACAGGCCCGGCAGGTTTCTTGTCGTCTTGAATGTCTAGTCTCGCTGTGATGGAACCATGACAATTTCGTTCCGTTTGATCATCCATCTCTTTTCTGGGAAAGCTTGGCGCTTTTCCTGGAGCAGTGCTCGCAAGTTTTTTGAAGCTTCAAGCTGGCATTTTGTCAGATCTGGACGGATAAAGACACTAGCATACGTTTCGTCGTGGCTTGTTCGCAAATCCTTCGCTTTAGCCAAGATCAGCTTCTTCTCACTCAGCGCTTCAAGTTTCACTCTCAGTATTCTGGAACCTGTGTCTTTCTTCTTTCCAAGCCGTGTCGCCTCCTGTAACTTCACAGATAGTTTAAACTCAGATTTGATCATTTCTTTGAATGCTGTAATGTCTCCTTCGCTGCTACCGGTCTCAGGGAGGTTGAAAACTGCCAAGTTGAGTTTCCTATTTTCGATGTCTTCTAGTTCACTGAGACCTCTCTTCAGGGCTCTGGTATCAGTGTCCTTTTTTACTAGGTTTGACTTTACAGTCACGGACAGTTCCTCTAGCCTGGTTTCCAATGCTGTCATGCTAGCTGCTGCTTGAGCGTAGCTAGGACTGCGCACTTCTGCTGATGCCGACCCACAGCTTTTTTCCACTTCTTGCAATCTTTTTTCGAGCTTTGCTTGGAGGGCAGCGATCTTTTTGTCATTTTGTGTGACGTTGGCATTGGAAATGGCTTCGATGGCGTTGACTCTAGCCTGCAGCTCCTTTTGCCCCGCCTCAAGCTTCTGGTTGGTCTGTGATATATCAGCTCTCAATCCGGCAATCCCAGCAGAGTTTTGATCGGATGTAGTGGCGAGCCGATCGAGTTCGGATTTGATGGACAGCTGCTCTCGCTGCAACGCTATGATCTGAAGTCTCAGTTGCTTAGCTCCCTCCTTGCATGCCCGACAGAACCACGCGCAACTGTCCGCATCATCCCCAAGGGCTTCGTACAGTTTGTCCGAAACTCCTTGGCAAACAACATGGTATCTTAGCAAGCACACCCCACATTCCAGTGATCGGTCTTTGGCGCCCATTTCCATCTGACAAGAGCCACACAAGTTTGAAGCGATTTTTGCCTTTGCATCATTTTCATTTTTGGAAAGATTCGTTTTTTCATTCATTTTCTTGTTCCTTTTTCTTTTGCCTGCAATGATCCATTCGCTGCTTTTGGGGTCATAACCCTCAAAAAAGTAGTCCGAGTCATCGTCCGAAGAGCTGTGCATAGCGCAATCTTTAATCACCTTTCAAGTTTCAGTGCGTAAATCCTGCGATTGCTAGATCTAAGCCTATAAAGCACGTGCTTTCAGAGTAAAAATCAATCAGAGTTGACCTTAATTGAACCGTAATACTTTCCAAAACTAATGAAAATAATTCATTTTTTAAAATGTTTCTAGCAGTCTTACACGTAACTTATGCTTAATCAGTATACACCAGAAACAATCTATGATAAAATGCGAACATTTCTGTGCATTTTAAAAGCAGTACGTTAGCTGGTTACGGTATATATCTTAAAATAATGGAGCACTTTCAAACACGTCCGACTGATCCAAACGCCACCACAAAAAATGTTTTTGCTCGTTTTGCTCGCTAAAACACGTGCTTGTTCGAAAAACATGCCTGGAGCCAGCGTCCTTTTGGAAAAAAAACGAACTTTAGTCACCATCTGCCGGCGGCGCCGCCACACAACGAACGCCGGCGGCACAGTATCAGCGATCTGGCACTGGCAGGAACGCGGGCAGGGGCGTGCCTAGGTCGCTGCCAGATCAGGAGTCTGGCAGGGTAGCGGCACAGATCACTGCATATAGTTATGCTGAAGCCTGAAACTAAATAACAAAGTAACGATAGGCACTAGGCATGCACGCTGTAGAGTGCGCAGACACATTCTCCGTATCTCCAGATTGTCTCACTATGAGTTTGAAGATTGGAGGCGCTGGCCAAGTCCAGCACGTAAAGTTCGCCTATTTAGCCCATCTGGGACCCAGTTGGACGACATGCCCAGATGTAGCCCAGCCCACATTCGCCCAGATTTCCCACTTCTAGCCCATGTGGGCCTCATTTGGGATGGCCGGCTGGGACTAGCTAGCAGACTCATGTTTGCCAGGTAATTTGAACCCAATCTTTTAAGAAGGGCTTTAATTGACATTGCTTTGTTTGTGCTATAAATAAGGTCTTCTCTCTAGATGTTGGACTTCATTTTGCTCATTGAATGCTGATTGATTTTTCTCTCTGCCCAGCTCGTTGTATTGAGGAAAAGGGTGAAGCAAGCAAAGGTCAATGTGGTTAGTAAGCTGACAAAACATGCTGCTCTGCTAGAAAAGAAGAAAGGCGACGAAAAGCAGCTTGAGAAAAACGCACGTAAACTGAAGCGCCTGAAGGAGGAAATTCAATTATTGAAGGTTGGTTGAAATGCACATTTTAAAGTTGCATGCAAGTTCTTTTGTCATGAACTTCATTACACTGTGCAGCTTGACTAAGCGATTTAATGAAAGTTACAGCTAACTTTTAAGGAACATTTTGAGATTGGCAAGACTTTAGTCATTCCATGCTTTATCATTAGGTAGGTGCTTGTTATTGACACCTATTATCCATTTTTTGTTGTTGCAGAAATTGAAGAAGGATGAAGTAGCCAGATATGGTGTTGCGGAAACAAAGGATCTGGAGAGTGTTATCAATAATGCTAATACGCCAATCGACGTCAGAGCAAAGGCGCGTGTCGCGATGTTTCCGGCTTTCCAGGAGAAGCTGCAGAAATTCAGACAGCGGCACCCCACTTGGGAGAAAGACGTGCCCAGACTTCTGCTGAAGATAAAGCCGTACAAGCCCAAGTCGGGCGGCGGCTCGGGAGGCGACAGCGCCGGAGAGTCAAATGATTCGGGCGATGACGGGGGAGGCGATGAATCGGACGAGGAGAATGAAAGCGATGCTGATGACGAGGTGATATCGCCCGCTAAAGTGAAGTCTGCCGCCACACCGTCCAAAAAGACAACCGCGAAGAAACCGAACAAGCAGACAGTTGTTGAAGCTGACGAAAGCGATGACGAAGACGATGATCTGGATGAACAGGAGGAAGAGTCAGACAGTGAAGGAGAACCAGAGTTATTGGACAGAATGGCTGAGGAAGGGGAAGAAGACGAATCTGACGGCGAAGACGAGGCAGATGGATTAGCCGAAGAGAGCGGAGATGAGGGTGAAGAAGAGAGCGGAGAAGAGGGTGAAGAAGAGAGAGGAGAGGAGGATGAAGTAGATAGCGACGACGACGGGGACGCAGAGACTTCGAATATCGTGGCTAATGGTACTGCCGACTCGGACGAAATGGATGAAAATGAGAAGTTGATGAATGAACACGATTTGGGTGAAAATGGCGACGTAAGTTCCGATGAGGACGAATATGACTCTCGGGACGAAGACGACGAGCCAGACACGGACGACGTCGACGCACACATCGCCGCCAGACACGGCGGGCTGGTCTCCATGGAGTCCGACGATGGCGAGTCGGAAGGTGAGGACGGCGAAGGCGAAGAGGAGGATGAAGATGAGAGCATGTCTGAGGAGGAGGAGGCGGCCCCTGTGGCAGCGAAGGGAGCCAAGAGACCACTGAATGGCAAAAAGGAAGACATTAGCAAGAGCAAGGGTCAGATGAAGATAAAGCGTATCAAGTTGGATGAAGTGGCCGAGGACAAGGATATCAGTCTAGACGAAGACGACGACGACGACGAGTCGGACGATGAGCCGACGGCCAACTCGAAGCGCTCGTCGTTCTTCATGGGAGGCGTCGACGATGAGGATGAGGTGAGTGTTTACGGTTACCTGACAGCTGACACTTTTTATTGATATTTCATAACTCATTCACTGGCCGACGGACGATCAGCAAGCGTAACTAGATGACTCACTTTTTGTGACAAACGGGTTCTGGGTTGGCCCTTCCTGTCAACAAACGGCGCACACTCCATCTAAGGCCTCATTTCCTGTATCGTATGAAAAGCTGCTATGTAACTGTTATGGATGTTGCTTTGCCTAAATCCTGCCTCTGGCTGATCCTCTGACTCCGTCGCGGCCAGGAGGATGAGGAAGCCGACGAGGACGGCGATGACGATGACGGAGACGCCGGCGACGACGTGCTGATGCAGGGCCGCCGGCGGATGGTGGAGCGGCAGCAGCTGCGCGCCAGCGCGGCCGGCGAGCGCGTGCCGCGCGGCAAGTGGAGGGGAGCCGAGCGCGGCCACCGCGGACGCTTCCAGGGCAGGGGCGGCGGCGGCGCGATGTCGGCAGGGCCTCGGGCAGACCGGTACGTGGAGGAGTGCCAGTGGGCTCAGAGTGCGGGATGGGGTGTGGATTGGGCTGACCGGAGCGCACTAACTGGTAACTACGATTGCATTTTGCAATGCTGTTATAATTAGGAAAGTAGTGCAATGTTTTAAGGATTGTAATGCAATGTTGTTCTGAGGAAAGTAGAAAGAGAGAAGAGGCACATGATAAACTTTTCTCATAGCATCAATTTTCGTGATCCTGACTCGGAAATGTGGTTCAGCTTTTCAAAATTGGGGCCGAAGAAGCTCACTCTATTCACGGAATTGCTGCTATCTTGTTGGTTGAAAAGGTGTCATTTTTTTCAACAACAAATTTTGAAATATATTACAAATAACGTTGTAGGGCAGTTTCGTGCACGCACTGCCTAGGGGCACATTCGTGCATATTTTTTTTTCGTTTTTACGTTTTATGACTATCTGTATAAGGTTTCACTTATGACGCTCGCCTGACGCAGTCTCGGCTGCTTGCGACGTCGTGACAAGTAATTCACGCGACCTTGGCGAGGTCACGGAGGCGGGCCGATGGCCGGCAGTTGGCACTTTCTTTTTGGCCAGCCCATTCTTTCTACATTTGTTGTGCAATGCATTCTTGTCGAAAGTAATCAAGTGAAATGACCCCCTGCCAATTTCTTTTGGTAAATTTCTGGTAATGCCCGGTAATTCCTCAAATTTTGCAGGGTGCACGGAGGTGCCCCACCCCTTGCACGAATGTGCCCCATACCTGGGGCAGTTGCGTGCACACGTTCAGAGATACTAAAAGTAATTTTTTTACTAATAGAACCGATAATTTTAGATGATAACTTTGAAAGAGGAAAATATCTGTAATAGCTCCTTTCCATACTACAATCAACAATTTTCCAATCGCACCAACCAAAGAACAGATCTATGGATTTATCCTTTTTTTTTGCACGAATGTGCCCCACTCTCCCCTATATATAATTCACGAGCTATGGGTTTTCTATCATACCTTTTAGCACCAAAATTCAAGGTGTGACTTTCCAGATTTCATGAACTCCCGGATATTCTTACAACACAACCAGTCAAAGTCTGTATTGGTATAACCTGTTCAATCTCAGTGTTTGCGTGCATAGATATGTGCGCACCGTACCGTTCCGCGTGCGGTGCTGACCGGAGTGTGCCGATTTCCGCAGGTCAGACGACTCGGCCGAGGAGGGCGACAAGCCCAAGGGCAAGCTGCTCCGGCCCGGGTACCTGGACGGAAACGCCAGCGACTCGGGCGACGACGCCGGGGCCGGACCGCCGCGGGGCCGGGGCAGGGGGCGCGGCGGCGACAGGGGCCGCTTCAGGGGCCGCGGCCGGGGAGGGTTCGACCGCGGCGGCAGGGGCGGCTTCAGGGGAGGTCGTGGCGGGTTCGACCGCGGCGGCAGGGGCGGGTTCAGGGGCCGGGGTCGGGGAGGGGACCGCGGCGGCAGGGGCGGGTTCGATCGGGACAGCTCGCGCGGCAGGGGCGGACGGGGAGGCTTTGACAGGGGCGGACGGGGCGGGTTCCGGGACAGGGGCGGTGACCGCGGCGGCCGCGGAGGGTTCTCGGACCGCGGCGGTTCCGAGGGCGGGTTCCGGCCCCGCGGGCGCGGCGGGTTCCGCGGCGGCCGAGGTGGCTTTGACCGCGACGACCGCGGCCGCGGCCGGGGCGGGTTCGGCCGTGGCGGCTCGGACAGAGGCGGACGGGGCGGCGGCAGGGGACGAGGAGCCTCCCCAGGAGGTGAGTTCAGCAGCCAACTAACTCCCCTGGGGCTCTGTGAACATTGCACAAGCCATAACGTATGATACACTTTCAGTCTGTTTTGAAACCCCCTGTTTTGACCTTCGGGGTGCAGCTAGGATTGGTCTTCAGTTTGTGTCAATTTTCCCTTCTTTCTCTTGCAGTATCTATTAAACTTAATTTTATCTATCCATCTCTTCAGTCATCTATTTCATCTATTCGATATCTAGTCTTGCAACTATCTGTTCATATGTCGCCCAATTTTTGTTGTTAAGTGATCATTTAAGACTAGCACATATATAATAGCTGCCTGAAATTTTCAAAGGTGCTGTTATGAAGTGACGCCAATAAGTATTGGATTTAATGCGTGTTCTGTAACACACTGTTTATAGCGTGTTCTGTTTCTGTAACATAAGACGGTCCATGGACAGCGTGTGACGGGGTGGGACTGGTGTGTTGCAGGCGTGCATCCGTCCTGGGCGGCCAAGAAGAGTCAGAGCCCCGCCATCGGCAAGTTTGAGGGCAAGAAGGTCAAGTTCGATTAGAGCTCTAGTCGTTACGAGGTGGAGGCGGTCGGTTCTGTGGCGGTAGATCGGTTTTTCGATGGGCTCGTACTGGCGAACGGAGCTGCTGCCAGAGTACAATGTGGGGACGTTGAATGTGTTTGCAGCAAATAGTTTCATATACGTTTGACAGTGCTTTCCATCCGCGCAGCCACAGTAGTGCACGACAGTGATGTGTTTTGCCGTGGCTTCTCTGTCGTAGGCTGGTTGGTATTGTGTGGAGACCTGTGCAGTTGTTTGCATCTGTGACATTGTATGGAGAGCCGTGTGGTTTTCAGCTGTGACATTGGGCATATTGTTACCTCACACCATCGGTGGACTCTATGTACAAGGTTTTCATGTTGCCACAGTTGTTATACATGCAATGGATCGTTGTAATAAACTTGTTTGATCGATATTTGTCCATGTCAAATGAAACAGAGTACGTGGTGCAGGGTGTGGGTTTCCGACGTCGGATCAAGACCAGACTGAGACGTAGTTGCACAGCTATGATAATATTTTGACATCACCAATCGCAGAGGTGTCTTTTAGTGGTATTTTAAGACCGTTTTTGTGATTCGCCACACAGTGCCACTCATCTCTGTCCGTCCTCTGATGGCCATTGCGGGGAGGTGCAGTAGGTACTCTGGCCGCCAGGTGGCGGGGGTGTTCTGCTCGCGGTCGACAGAGGGCAGTATCGGTAGTGAAGCGGGCCGCGGGCTGGAATTCTAAGGCGACCGGCTGGTGGTTGGTAATGGAGTTCTTGTACTCTATATGTTGTTGACCGGCTTTGTATACAAACTGTCAATGCGACTTTTGACTACTGTTGAACGCAGTTCAAGTAAACAAGTTTGTGCACATGTTTCCAAGTAGAGCCGCTCGTGCGCCTCGTCACACTGTCTTAGCCGATATTGTTGCGGGGAACCCCACAGCGATGCTGGTGTGGCCGTTGGCATCACTACATAGACGCGTGTGACTGGAGCTCAGCAAATTCCAGACAAAGCCGAGTGGTTCGAAGTTTTCCAAACTTCTTCCATTGTGACGTTGTGTCAGGAGGTGCGGCAGAACTAGAACAGGAGCCTGTTGTCTCGTTTCAGTGACACGTCAAATGATCATGGCCATCTGATGAAGCCGCACTTCCAGCAATTCCGCCCAAAACTGTCCGCCTCGACTACACCAAGGATTTTGTGGGATGCCAAACATTAGAGGCTTACCGGTCAATCACACATATCATCGCAACATTATCCTGTTTCTAGATGGAATCCAATGACATTTTACAGTCTGTTTGAGTTACAACTAGAATATGTTATGAGTCATTAGGTACGGGTATAAATGCATGTTTTTTTCGGCACGGTACCTACCTTCACTCTAAGACGTTACTACTAATGAACAATGGGAGACGGCTCTTACATCGGCCCAACATCGTAATTGCCTCCTGGGTTGACCACGAACGCTGGCGACAACACTGCGATTGGATGGCCTCTCACAGCCGGCCGAGCGCCAGTCATGGGCATGGGTGGAGAACCTGCCCCGGCCACCCCGGCCGTGGCCGGGGTAACTTTCAGCCTACCCCGGCGCGGCCGGGGTAACTTTTCTACTCTTGTAAATCCTAAAAGCTGTCTCCATACGAGAAAAGAAAACTCACGCTCTTCGAATGTTGACTTCCATGGGCGTAATATTGCAAATCAGGTAGGTATTTACCATTTACTTAACTCAGTGACGTACCCAAGGGGGGGGGGGGGGGGCAAGGCCCCCCCTGAGCGCCTTCGGCGCTCAGGGGGCCCCTCAGGCCCCAGGATATTTTTTTTTAAACACTGGATAAAACGTCTTTTACTCGGAAGAAAAATTGATATTAAAGTTTCATTTATGTGCCCTGGGTACCCGAGGGGCCCCTGCAGTCATCCAAGGGCCCCCAGTTTCCTGGGCCCCTGGTCGCCTAGGGGGCCTCTGGTAGCCGGGGGCCTGGTCTCATGGGGGCCCTGATAGCCTGTGGCCCCTAGTCGCCTAGGGGGCCCTGGTCGCATGGGGGGCCTCTGGTCGCATGAGACCCCTGATCGACTGGGGGCCCCTAGTTGCCTAGGGGGCCCTGATAGCCCGGGGCCTGGTCGTATGGGCCCCTGATAGTCTGTGGCCCCTAGTCACCTAGGGGGCCCTAGTCGCATGGGGGGCCTCTGGTTGCATGATATTGAGGCCCCTGATCGCCTGGGGGTACCTAGTCGCCCAGGGGGCCCCTGGTAGCCGGGGGGCCTGGTCGCATGGGGGCCCCTGGTTGCCTGGGGCCCCCGGTCGCCCCTAGTCGCCTGGGGGACCCTGGTCGCCTTGGGCCCCTGGTAGCCTGGGAATTGGGATCCCCTGGTCGCCTGGGGGCCCCTGATCGCCTGAGGGCCGCTGGTCACCTAGAGGGCCCCTGGTCGCCTGGGGGCCCCTGGTGGCCGGGGGCCTGGTCGCATGGGGCCCCCTGGTCGCATGGGGGCCCCCTGGTCGCCTGGGGGCCCCTGATCGCTTTGAGGACCTGATCGCATTGGCCCTTGGTCGCCTGGAGGGACCTGGTCGCCTGGGGCAGTGGGGCCCCTAGTCATCTGGAGGACCTGGTCGCCTGGGAACCCCTGGTCGACTGGGGGCCCCTGGTCGTCTGAAAGTACGCTTATCACCTGATTGATCCCAAATCATCTGAGTGGCTACTGGCTACTGGATATAAGTAGTGACTGGAGTAGGCACTCATCTGAAGGAGCCAATATCTTTCACGGTGCCGGAGATATCACAGAAAAACAAAAAGGCTAAACTGAATACCCCCAACCTTGCCCCCCCCCCCCCAAAGGCGTCATTGGCTAACACAGGGTTGTGGGTCGATTTGCAATCGCATTTCCTCCTAAGTCCTATTCCTCCAATTAATACAGAGTGTCCCAGAATTACCCAAACATTTATTTTCTGGCTAAAAGTACAATTGCGCTCGATTCCTAGTGAAACATATAATAGCCGCGTTTACATAGGGCTAGTTGCCAAATAGTGGAATTCCGATAACGAGACATTTATTCCCCACTATTATATTATATACCTAGTACCTACATATCCGGAATTGGAGGATGTTCAGTAATTGAGGCGCTCGCTCATAAAATGCCGTGCGTTTCATGCACACTCCTCAAGCAAAAATATTTTTACTTTCCAATTTTCCACATTTTCTCAAGGCTTAGACCGTTACAGAGACCGTTTTAATTGACTTTGATGAAGTTGAACGCGAGAAATCACAACCAAATGCTACATTAGGTTGTAAAGAACTGAATTGCGTTTTCCCACACACGTGGCGTTTTCTCACCTACGTCTGCAGGAGAGACCGGACCCACTATGCCCCCCCCCCCCACTATCGAAAGATTCTTCATGACTCCCGGGGGCCCCCGGGGAACCTGGGGGGCCCCTTCGAAAGCAGGTGGCCCCCTCCTGGGCGAAATCCTGGGTACGTGCCTGACTTAACTTGCCATAATCTCCAACCCTAAGACCCGCGTGTGGTCGCCAATGCCAAGATTGCTCTCAAATCCTGTTCAGTTTCGAAATTTTGGCGCGCCTTCGGCGCACTTTTTCAAAACTACTGCTTGACCTCATTGCCTTCAACTGACCTGCCACCAACCGCAACCACACCCGTTTATGAGCGTACCCGTCAGGGTGCTCATAAACACCGAGCGGCCATCATGCTTCGAACTCGGACTGTTGTAACCGGGCCGCGTGCTCTCGCCACGCGGAATCCAACGCTCTAGCAACTGAGCTACGAGACCGGGACCGGTCGATATTCCTGGATCGACTCCCTGTTTGTATTATAAGAGCCGCCCAACATTGAAAAAGGCTACGCCCGTGGATGTCAGTGACCTATTTTAGTGCTTTGCTTGGTTCGATCTGTCAATTTCTCTGTAAAGCTTCTACTATGGTGAGTTGTCTTTTTGTAGCTATTTTGAGACACAATAAAAAGCTGAAAACGCAACATTTAGGTACTCAAAATGGCATATGGTTTGGTTTGGATTCGGTGTGAAATTGGAAGTTTAAGTAAAAAGAAATAATAATTTAAAAGCAAATTGCCTTTTCGATCATTCCAAAAATGTTATGAATAATACGGTGTCGGATACAACGCTCATCCTTGAGCAAACACAGCATCCTATTCCATGCGTCAGAATAGGGGTTTGATGATGACCGTTGAGAACAACGTGAGTATATCGTCTTCCCGCGACTATCGGTCGCCGGCCGGGGTAACTTTTTCAAACATTCTCCACCCATGGTCATGGGCGTACATTTCTGACGCTGTTGTCCACTAATTCGGCCGGTCACGCAACGTCCCGCGCCCAGCGAGGAGCGCCACCGAGCCGCCTAACCAACGCCGCCACGACTGACTATGTAGTCAACGGCCGGCCACCCGCGACTTCGGACTTCGGAGTGCCTATCCGGTGTGACGTGCGACTGTGACAATTAGCACGGCGAACCAGGCTAATAGCAGAGGACTCGGGATGCAGCACCCCTACAGTCTCCATCCCTAAATGGAAAGGTGTTTTCTTCGACGCATGACATCCACTTCCTAGCGCAGTGTCTGGGGGATTGTCTATATACAGACTTCTGACTCGTAATTTGGTGATCGGTCGCTGGGTATACTCGCGGTCGGTGACCGGTCATTAACCGGTACATTTGCGGTCCGTTTCTGAGGCCACACGGTCATCTGGTTCCGCGCAGGTCAGCGTGGTCTGTTGCTATGACAACGCGCTGACGTCGTCCGGTGCTATCTGATGGTGGAGGGAGCGTTGTCCTCGCGGCGTCAGGACATCCATCGGGCACTGCAGCTGTGTCACTAAACACTTAATCGATGTGATCTGACTATCACGGACATCCGTTATGCTCCCTTCGTGCCCTGTCGTCTGGCGCAATGGGTCTATGTCATCTGAGTGGCGCGTTCGTCTACAGTGTAATATATGCTGCTTCACATTCATTACAAGAGCACTTCAAGCCAACCTACACAGGGTATCGGGAACGCATTAGCTATGCCGGTGTTGAGTTGTGTATGGGCAATGCAAGGCTGCATACAATGCATAGGTGAGAACTTCAAAGCAGCGTAGCCTAATTGCATTCGATTGCGAACACAAAGGAAAGATATATAAGGACGTATGATGGGCCTTACGATTTATCCCCGCAACTCGGCTGATTTAAGAAGAGGAGGCCAACGAAGATGAGCACGTGCTAGTGCAGTGCAGGCGGGAGAGTGAACCAGAGAAGAACAGTCAGAGAGACTCGGATACCGTACTCCATCGGCCCTGCCTGGGCGGAAGCCCAGCTCGCCGCGGCTGCAGCCGGCCCTCTCAGCTGGGCGGGGGCAGGGGGCGCGGCGCGGCCGGGCCACCCAGGCCGGCCGGCCGGCGGTGTCGGTGTGTCGGCGGCCGGCCCGTCGCC